TTTTCGCAAATTGGGCCTAAAACCGTGAGGCCCAAAAGTTTTGTCCCATTAAGCTAAAATTTGCATTTTTGGCCCATTTAAAAGCATGTTTAGCATAAAAATACCTTTTTATACATGTAGGACCTGTTTGGCCCTTTTAAAAACAAAATTTTCACTTTTTACCCTTATCTTTTGTTTTCTTGACAATTTTGACCTTTAACAAGGTTTTTGTTGAATTCTTTTGCATCTTAAACATGTAATCACTTTTGGCTTGATAATGTAATGTTTATAATGTAATAGTTCATAGATCTTTGTTAAATAACACTTAAAGTTTTAAGATTTGCTAAGATCTAACACATTATTACCAAACAAACTAAGAATTCACACAACATGCATATAACACATAGATCTACACATTTTACTTGAATTCTCCCCCAAAAATCATATGCAAACCAAAAACAAAGGGGTATGAACTCACCTTTTTGCTTGATGTTCGGTTTTTGAAGAAGAAGTGGAAAGAGATGAAGTGATTTCCGGCCCTAGCAACTCCCTTGAGTAGATCTCTAACTTATGGAGCTTCTAAGGTATGATCATGGAATAAAAACCATGTAAGGAGGAGTTTTTCATATTAAGATAAAAGAAGATACTTGTGGCTGACAATAACTTACCCAAGATTTGAATGGCTTGAAGAAGAATCCTTAGAACCCTAGCAAATTTTTGAGATCTTGTAGGAAGGATGAGGATGATTTTTTAGAGGTTTGGAGAGAATTTTCAAGTGTGTGTGTGTGTGTGTTTTGGCTCTCGGCCGAGAGTAGAAGAGGAGAGGGGAGAAAAGTAGTGAGGTGACTAGCTTGGATGTATGGGGGTCCTTGAATGGATATATGATGAACAAAATGGAGGTGGCACCTCCAAAGTCACCCCCCCCCCCCCTAATTCTCTTCTTTTCCTTTTATTTTATTTTTTTATACATGGGCCAAGATTTTGGGCCAAGAAGAAAGGGTGGAGTAGCTTGGGCCTATTAACTTTAGTTAGGATATTTGGATCTTAAACATAAAATTTTTCGGCTCATTGGGCTCTTGGAAGCATTCACGACCCAAATAGAATAAAAAGAAGCGGCTTATGGCTCAATAAGGTTAATTGGATTAGTTATGGCTCAATAAGGCCCATTAGGGTTAGAATGAATCATTCTAGACCCAAATGGTCCAAAATGTTTTAGATTTATGAATTAGGTCTAATTAGGATCCAATTAGGGCTTCTAAGTCCAATAAAATTGAATTGGGTGCTTATTGGTCCATTAGGCCCAATAAGAAATTTCTAGTCCGATATGGACTCAAACCGGGATTCTTAGGGTTTTTAGACTCTTTGTTGAACATACATGATGAATCTAAATGAGCATTGAGTGAGATTTACTTAGAGTGCATGTTTTACAATAGAGAATGGTTACACATGAATAGAATTTCCTAGCTAAAATGCTAGTTGTGACATAAATGGATTTCAATTATCATCACATCAAATGGTTTCAAATTGTGTTAAAAAGACATCAAGTCATCAAAAGTATTTCAAAATGTTAAACTCTGTATATAATTTTATAAACTTATATTTTTCCTCAAAAATCATATATATATATATATATATATATATATATATATATATATATATATATATATATATATATATATATATATATATATATATATATATATATATATATATGAGATTTAAAGGGCTTAGGACTAATAAATCGCTTTATAAATATAAAGGTTATTTCATTTAGTTTCATTACCCTTTGTAACATGTCGAGCAAGGGGTTGCATTCATGAACATTTAGTATCAATTCAGAAAGTACATATAAATGATAATAGGTATAATTTATGATTCATAGAACATTAATTCACGATTCAAGTATACTAGAGTACACCATTTTACAAGAACAAGGGTTTGATTCAAAACTAATCAAGGGTATACATCTTTCAAATACATGTTAAGAATACTAATTCAGGAGCATACTATCAATCATTTATTTCAGAATGATTGGGTTTTCACTTCTATTATACACGTAACGTCTATATGCTTTTTATGAGTCAATAAGATTCAGGTTGATTATTTATTTAAACAACATAGTTAAAGTTCTTACATTATAACCAGAATCTTCAGTCGGGGATCAAAACAAGTGTGTATATATCTATATTGGGATTGACAACTCCGCACTCGGGCTGCTAGCTACAGTACGTCATACACGCCTATAAGTGACAATTGTTATCAACAGTTTTGACGCCTTCAAAGCATTGTTTCAGGCCATCTAGTCATAGTATGATTAATAACTCATTAAAAAAATATTAACAATACGTTAGTGTATAATTAACTAAACATGAGTACATTTTTAAAGTACTAGTTTACATAGATACAAGTTACAGTATTACATTACAGTTTATAATAACAGTTGGTGAAGCCAGACACTCTCACTTTTATAGGTTTTACAAAGGAATACTAATATACAACACTGGTTTACAAACAGAACGGTTTTATGTGATTAAAACTACTTCATAAAGCAGAAAATATATGATTTTATGGAACAGTATACATATTCAAAGAATGGAAAACATACTTTCAAACATAAATACTTATGCACTCACTCAACTTTATGTTGATACTCTTTTTTCAAACTACTTGTATTCTCAGGAATCAGTAGACATGTACTCCCCGAGCTTTTGAGAAGATGGAGTTGTTTTAAGTGATGTCTTCTGTATTTTGCTACAACCATTTTGGTGTCAATATGCATTGATCGAATACATGTAAAACTTATGCTTTTTAATACAGTGGCTGTTTGTACTTTGATTACTATGATGCATGTGTTGTGATACTACAATTGAAGCCCTCCACCCCAGACGTTTCCGCCATCTGGTTTGGAGGTGTGACAATGTGCTCTTCAACAGCTCTGGTTCTTAGTAGAAGGGTGGGGAGTTAATACTTTTGGTTGGGTTAGCAAGTATATTGTATGTAGGGATGTAAATGGGGCGGGTTTGGGGCGGGATTGACCATCCCTGTCCCCATCCCCGAGTGTCTAACCTCATCCCCATCCCCGACGGATACGGGGAATCAAATCCCCTCCCCTTTGTATTTTAGGCTTTTCCCCAGCCCATCCCCAATCTATAAACATAATAAACTCAACTTACACACACACAAAAAAAAAAAAAAAAAAAAAAAAAAAAAAAAAAAAGTTTAATAAGTGATCAAAACCATATGCCATAAACAGATTATGTTTACATCAATCATAAAATTTAGCAAGCATCAAAACAAAAAGTGTCGATTTGGTATACAAATCGACGAACAGAGTGACGTTTGATTACTCTTGGAATTGAGAACATAATTTGGTATATGGACTCTATCTCCAATGGTCTAATATAGATCAATTCATTTTAGTGGACTTAATTAAAATCAATAAATGATCGATATACTAATATTATATATATATATATATATATATATATATATATATATATATATATATATATATATATATATATATATATATATATATATATAGTCATCAAAGTGGGGGCGGGGCGGGTTAAGGATTGTTATACCCGGTCTCGGCCCCATCCCTGATTTTAGCATAATGGGGATCCCCGACCCCGTACCCGGTACCCGTTTTGACAGGGAATACTCATCCCCGATTAGGGCGGGTCAACCGGGTTTCCCACCAGGTCGAGTGGAATTTTCATCCCTAATTGTATACTCCTGAGCGTTTAAAGTGAACTCCTTTTAATTTGAGTTGTTGTTGTTTTGCTATAATATTGCTAGTTTGCTTTGTTTTTTTTTTCTTTTTTTTGCTATAATATTGCTAGTTTGTGAGTTGATACCTTTGGTTGGATTAACAAGTATACCCCTGTACGTTTAAAGTGAACTCTTTTCAATTTGAGTTGTTGCTGTTGTTTTGCTATAATATTGCTAGTTTGCTTTGTTTTCATCTTTTATAGTTTGAAAATAAATAAATAAATAAATAAATAAATAAAAACTAATAATTATGCGATCAGATAAAAGCAAAATATGGACTATAGGTTTAGAACCTTTTTTTTTAATATCCATATTGTAATATATTTATTTGTTATAATTTTAAGGTCAAGTAATGTTTTTATTTTTTTTATATTATAATTATAATGTCAAATTATGTTTTTTTTCTCCGAAAATATGATACATGTTAGTAAAATGATAAATCATGTGAATGAGCTTAATAAAACATTTAAAACAGACAAAAGATAAATTAGTTAATTTTAGAAAAAAAAAATGAAAATGTTAATCATTGGAGAAACTATTTGATAAAAGCTTTTTGTCAAATAAAAGTTAGTTGCAAAAGTAAAAAGTTTTAAGAGGTTAACCATTGAAGATATGAGAAAATAGTTTAACTCAAAAAATGGTTGGAATTCCAAATGATATTGTTCATTATATTTTATAGTTTAAAAAAAATATGGTTCATTAACATCAAATGATATTGTTCATTATCCTTTACATTTTATAGTTTAAAAAAAATATGGTTCATTAACAGATATTGTTCATTATCCTTTACATTTTATAGTTTAAAAAAAATATGGTTCATTAACATCAAATGATTCAAAATTGAGAAAGCAAAATTGATGGCCAATAAAAAATAGACTTTAAGGACCCATCAAGCAAATGCCACTTTCGTTCCTAAGTCACCATCATTTTGAACATCTCTTTTAAAATGGAACAATAAATTATGAGATAAAAAATGCTTTCGTATCGGGTCGATTCCCCTTCCTAGAGCAATAATGCTCTATCAACATATATCTTATGCAAATAAAGTCGATTCCCCTTCCTAGAGCAATAATGCTCTATCAACATATATCTTATGCAAATAAAGTGTACCTCATCGGGGTCCCACACATATACTCTAAAAGTCTATTCATTGGTAAATAACAAAACAAGTTGTACTGCGTTTAATATTATAAAAACTATATTATTTTGTCCCACTCAAAAAGGGACATGAATTCCTGTGTAAAAGACTTAACTAACCTCTTCTCTAGAAATCTTGTAGGGGATCTAAAGAATGGCCTTCCATGACAATGGCCCAAGCATAGGATTCCTCTTAAGTGATCCATGGAATCCAATTCCTTGTGGATTACACCACAACTTTTTGCCAAAGTGATTGTGACAAAAACCAATCTACCCCTCTACAAGAGGTTCTCCAACACTAATTTACCAATTTCAATTAGCGGTTTCAATATCAAAATGGGATCGGGATTATCACAAGAAGCAGATACACAACAGATTCCAAGATCACCCACAAAACCCACACCGGCACCACGGACTCATGAAAACCATCAAACCGCAAAAACCACGGTTACAACCACAAGCACACGGTTGAACCGTTTACCTCATGATTGTGAAGCAATTTTGAAGGATGCAGATACTCTTATCGATAAGTCTTCGATTGATCAGCTTTATGCTGGTGTGTTTTTGAACCAAAAGAGAATGGTATGTCATGTTTGTATCTCAATCTTTATAGTTTTCCTTTACTTAGAAGTTTTACCCATGTGATATGTTACTTTCTAGAGTACAATTGTGTTATATCACTTTTTCTGAATATAGTTTACAAGTTTGTTATTGGTTTTATTCAGTCCCTAAGTCACTCACTGTTTGTTAAGCCTTTTCGCCCATGACTACAAGACCAATGGTTTCATATTAGGGTTACCAAACAGTGATTTACGGACGAAAAAAGTCAAAAGATAATACTTCTGTACTTATAGAAGAAAAGTGATAGAACACAGGGGCAAAAACTGTAATTTACTCAACTTTTTAAGCATTTGCTACATAAATAATAAATTCCATTTGTGTCCTATGTTTTGGTAAATGACGAGAATGCCCTCGTCTTATATGCAATTTTATTTTTTTGGTTGAAGCAGAAGTATTGGGTTGATAAGGCATCAAATGGCAACTGTTTCTTGGTGTTTGCAAGGGACCTCTCCATCGCTTGGCAAGACGACAATCGTTATTGGCATTGGACCTCCATTAAAGAAGCAAGGTGATTACTCATTACAATCGAAAGCAAAAAATTATAAATGTTGCTTTGATATTTATAAATTATAATATTAAAAGTAAAAGAAAAAACACAGGCGATTAAAATACCAGTTTTTCCTTTGTTTATGCAGTGATCAAGAGTTTATAGATGTTGCGGAATTGCTAAACGTTTGTTGGTTAGATGTCGCCGGAAAATTTGAGACGGCGAAATTAACACCGGGAATGAAATACGAGGTCGTATTCATGGTGATGCTGAAAGATCCTGCTTACGGGTGGGAAGTTCCGATCAACGTCAGACTCGTCCTGCCGGACGGAAGCAAACAAGAACACAAGGAAAACATGGTGGAAAAGCCGAGATCGCGGTGGTTTGAGATTCCGGTTGGCGAGTTTACGGCGGAAGCAAAGAACGGAGGATTTATCGAGTTCTCGTTTTACGAACATGAAGCTGGGGCTTGGAAGAGGGGTTTACTCGTCAAAGGTGCGGCCATTAGACCCAAAAAGTGAGATCGGATCGGGCTATATTTGCTACCATTTATTGAGTTGGGCTTTATACTTGGTGATCGATCGGACTATATCTGTTATCTAATAATGGTCTCTTTTAGGACTATGGGTGTTATACACTTATACTTATAATTATAATTTCCACTTCTATATAAAGGGTATGATATTTCCACTTGTAACTTGTATAATTTTTAATCCACTTAAAATATAAGTATTATGATTATTATGCCCTTATTTAAAATTTACAAAATATGGAGATTGATAAGAATACCTAAGGTCGTGATTAACGTGATTCTTCTTTCTAAATGACAGCTGATTCTTTTTCATAGTCAGCGTTCAAAATTTGTCATTTGCCGGTTGTCAGAACTGAAGAAGGTGAAGCCCTAAATTAAGAACATAGAATAATCACAGGTGTTGAATATATTGCTGATTAATCTTCATTATATTACTGATTTATCCTAATTATATTAAGGTTTTTATGTGTATATTGTACCATATTTATGCCCATTGTTCATAAGTTTTTCACAGGTGTATTCATTTGTCTTTAATAGATTGCGATAATATTCATCAAAGCATTAGATATCGAAAATTAATTAATGAGATTTTATTAGGGTTTAGGTTTTACATGCTAGAGAGTTAAGGGCATTTAATTTGCATATTAAATGATTGGAGGTGTTATGCTCGTAAATATCTATTGTAGGGATGTGAAATAAATTAATGTTATACCATTGTAGCAAATTACTTACATGTATAAAGAGCTAAAATGTGAAAAAAAAAAAAATCAATTTGTGCAGTTTGTGTACATGATTCAATGCATTGTCATGGTAGGCTTTTAGCAAATATCTTTACCAGTTGAGAAAGAGAAAGAATTTCCAAATTTTTTTGGTTTCTTATTTCTTTTGCATGAATGTCAAGTAAAAGTTAACCTTATAATAGATAAAAAAACATGCATATGAAGGGTGAAATAATTTGTACAATACAAATGTAAACATCATGTAACGGCTTATTATTTTGCATGAACGTGAAGTAAAAGTGATAACCTACTTGATTTATGTTTTATATTATGCTATAGGCAGCATACACTAACTACTAACTTGATTTATGTTTTATGCTATGCTTTAGGCACCATTGGAATGGATTCATCAAGTCCTTCAATAGAAAATGAAGAACTCTGTTTAGCTAACTCCAAATTTGAATCATATGATGAATTACTAAAGAATGTACGAGACTTTTATTACGCTAAAGGATATGCATTATCTATTCGAGATTCAAGTAAAGATAAATATGTCAAGTTGCAATGTGACCGAGGCGGTTCCTATCGAGATAGATTGTGTATTGGCAATAAAAGAAAGAGGAACACCGGATCTCGTTTGATCAAATGCCCCTTCCAGATCGTAAAAAAGGAATTGATGGTTCTTGGGCACTTAATGCTAAAAACTTAACTCATAACCATGAACCATCTATTGATATGTCTGGGCATCCATCATTTCGTCGTCGATTATCATCGTACAAAGTGTCAAAAACATGTCACTTTCTGGCATACCCCCAAGGCAAATTATTTCTTCTTTTCGGCAGAATAACCAAAACCTTCCAGAAAATTCTCGAACTATATACAACCTGATGATGAAAATCCGCAAGGAAAACATGAAAAATATTCAATGGTTAGTGCCTTATTTGAAGAGCTTGAAAAAGAGGGTTTTATTTATGATATTTTACATAATGAAGTAGGGCGTATAACCCATTTGTTCATTGCACATCCCTTGTCAATTATACTCGCCAAAACCTTCTCAACTATCTTTGTTATGGATTGCACATACAAAACAAACAAGTATAACATGCCTCTCCTTGATATCATTGGGGTTTCATGCTTTCATACCTCTTTTTATTCTGGGTTTGTTTTTCTGGAGAAAGAGGATGAAGAGAGTTATATTTGGGCATTAAGTGTGTTTAAGAAAACTCTTGAAAATCGTGAACCGTCTGTGATTATATCCGATAGAGAGTTGGCATTAATGAATGCTATAAAAATAGTATTTCCGAACATGACAAACCTTTTGTGTATTTGGCATATTGAAAAGAACGTGTTGGCAAATTGCAAGAAGCATTTTGCACATGTAGAAGAGTTTAATACATTTATGTCAAGTTGGATAAATGTAGTGTATTCAACTACAACAACTATTTTTAAGAATAATTGGGGTGAATTTGAGTTGCTTTATTAGACGAAGAAAGTTGCAGTTGATTATATTAAAGACACATGGTTGCCTTGGAAAGAAAAGTTTGTTACTGCTTGGATAGAAAATTACTTGCATTTTGGTAATCGTTCATCTTCAAGGGCTGAAGGTGCTCATCCAAACTCAAGTTGTATCTACAAGTATCTACCGGTGGCTTATAAGAAGTCAAAGAAAAGATTTGTCTTGCAATTAAACATGAATTCATTGAGATTAAAGTGAAACTCGCAAGTGAAAAAAATTCAAGTTCTGCATAATTGTGACATGCCGGTTTTTAGAGAGCTTTTGTCTCATGTATCTCATTTTGCATTAAAGGAGATACATATGCAATGTGAAAAAATAAAAAATGGTAATATTTACAAAGATTATAGTTTTAGATTATTGTAAAACATTAATTTGTACATTAACCTTTAATAATTGTTTGGTTTTTCAGGTATAATGATGCCTTGTACTGATTATTTTATGGCAACCATGGGCCTTCCTTGTGCTCACAAGATAAAACAGCTGGAAGGAAAGCCACTTTCTTTGGATCTTATTCATCCACAATGGAGGATTGATACACTACGTCTAAATTCGGAAGACGATTCACACAATGATGGTGTCAACAAATTTGATGAGTTGCTTACTGATTTGTCTTCAAGGTACAAAACGTGGCCTTTAAGTAAAAAAGAATTTGCTACTTCTATGATTACCAAGCTTTTGACCGAATTCCATGTGTTCTTTGAACCAATGATTCGTAAACCAAAAGGTAGACCTCCAAAATCAAAAAAGAAAAGAGGAATAACTTCAACCGTATGAGATCCTTCAAGATTCGAGTTTGTGGAATCATCACAAACATACAACCCTTCAAGTTCTACCGGTGACTTCAATATGAACAATGAAGTGTCTGAGAGCAACTTATTTGATTTAAATACATATCTAATTTTTTAAGTGATGGTATTATGATTTGAATAATTTTATTGGGAAACATTTTATAATGATTTGATATGAACTGGTTTGAATAATTTATTAGGATATGTATTAGTTGAAACAATTAATTTTCATTACATCTGCAACTTATAATGCCTTCGATGGATATATGAGAAAACAAATGAACTTTTGTTAACTTTCATTTAAATGATAGATAAGAAAAAAAGTATATGAATAAATTGAGGGATAAAAAGCATCGGATCGTTGGGATGGACAAAAAGAAAAACATATTAATTTGTGTTAGACAAGTTATGAACAAGAAAAAAAAAAGACGCTTAACAAGAAAAAAAAAAGGCGCTTAAATGTTATTAAGTGGGGCACGTATAAAACCTATTTATCTTCTTTTTTCTATTTTTTTTTTTGTAAGTTTAAAATAAGGGTAAAAGTGTCAAAACATTTTAAACTTAAGTAGATAGATAAAATAAATAAGTGGAAATATCAACTCCCCTATATAAAATTATAGGATTCCGAATATTTCAATGCTCCAATGTGGGTTCATATTTGCTATTTTAGTTTATTATGTTTGGCATCTGGGTTCTAAATAAGATGTTTACTAGGATTCCTAATTCTCAATTCCATATAAACTAATCAAGCCCTCGATAACTGCTCAAGTCCTCAATAAACTCAAACTTTCAAGTGTCCAACAAAAGTAGTGTCTTTCGAAATGTGTAAATTGCATTAAAATTATAAAAAGCTAAAAACTTCCAAAAGCTTCTTTTAATACCTTTTTGATTAAGTGTTTTTCGTGTTGGAAATTCAACAAAACAAGTTAAGTACTTCAGACTAACAATAAAGAAACGAACTTAAGTGAAATTTGCAGAATAAAACTTCAAAAAACTGAAATAAAAAACTAAACACAGTATTTAACATGGTTCGGTCAGATATACGTCTACGGGCAAACAGGAAAGAATATTTTATTAAACTATCAAGAACAATTACAATCACCCAATGTTGCATCTCACTTGAGCTCTCAAACAAAAGAATCTCTTGCTTACAAACTAATCCAAAGAATGTACTCTCACCTCACAATTATTGTTCTCTTGAATTTTATGTGCAAAGAATAATGAAGGGAGATATATGTCTATTTATAGGCAAGCATAGAAAACCTTAATTTTGATGGGTCAATCTCATCCATAATTAGCCCAAAATAATTTTCAATCAATCACAAAATATCATGAAGATGGTTCTAGAATCTTTAGTCTTTTGGGATATACATGACCACATGTCATGCACTTAGACGCACACCTAGCAAGACCTGACATATCCATAAGGGTGCACTTGGCTTCTTAGGTTGGAAGGAGTGGTTTTCGCCAAAAGCTCGCTTGCAACTCGCCACTCTTGCTATGACCACTCCCTTCATATTCGTTGCATGCCTTGCTAAATGTTACTCGCCAGACTCCTAACAACAAGAAAGAGAGAGAAATGGAAGAGAAAGGTTGTGATTGGTTTATTTCTCATTTCTTTTTTTCTTTTTTTTTAATTAAAGTAATACAACATTTTAAATGCTATCACTCCCTATCTCTTACAACTTAGATACAATCTTTTAAATGCTATCACTTTGTATCTCTTACAACTTAGATGCTATACCACTCTCTTTAGCCTTAGGGGTGCATCAAGTACCAAGGTGGCACATATTGCTTCCAGATGGCGCACCAAGCTTCCAAGTGGCACACTTGAACACCAATGGCATACTACCAATGGCACATTTGAACAGGACTTCACACCCTCACGCTTTGTTTAAAATAAAAGCCAAAAACTCATAATAATGAATGAACCTTTTTCTTTAATTCGGTTTTGCACTTAGAGACTTAAAGCTCCTAAAAATTCGTTTCCGAACACGGAACACCCTTAATGTTGATTGATTCAATTTAGTAATTAATTATATACTAGTTTATAACCCGTGGAAACCACGGTTATAAAATTAATCAAACTTTTATAGTAAAAATTCAAAATTATTAATAAGTTATTTTAAATAAATTATTAATTTAAGATATATTTTTATTAGTTATGTGAAATTATAATCATTGATTCAAATAAATATATAAAATTAATTTTTAATATATATTAGATATTTTTTATTTGTGAATTAATGAAAACAATAATTTAAAATTTAAAATTTAAAATAGAATCATATTAATGAGGAGGCCTAATAAATTTAAAATGGAAAACTAATAAATTGACAAGTAGCAACACATTAATTATAATGTCTAATATGATGACACATGACAAAAAAACTATTCTTTTATTAGTATAAGGATTTTAGGCTTGTGTGTCTTATAGTTAACAAGTTACTATTATCCATATACCCAAACTCCTATTTGGCTTATAATGATTCGATCATATTTGCTATTCAATGATCTATATTATCCATTTGGACTTTATAGCTCATAAGTATATTAACGGCAATATATTTAAACTTCTGTTTGAGTTTTGAGATTATACTGATTGGCAACAAGTCACGAAAGTTACGATATATCATGATAATCAACTCCTTATAAGATGATAAGATGTATGCATACCAATTTTCATGAAGAAAATTATAGTGACGTATGCTTATTGATAGATATAAAGTAGTATACATAGGAGGACAAGAAAAAGTACAAAATATAATTTGCTTATAACTCTACAATGCAGTCAAAAGTAAATAAATAAAAAAGAAAATTAAAACAAACAAATAACAACAATAAGCCGTATTATTCTTATGTTAATTATAATTCTGTGTTATAATCATCTGGCTTATACCATAAAGAGAAATCAATCCCCTTGCCTTTAAGTTCCTCTGTAGCACTACCAATTTTCTCCAAAAGCTACAATTCAAAGTTAGCACTTCCATTACAACATAAGTTTACAAAAATAAATAAATAAATAAATAAAAGTACGTTTTTTATTTTTTGCATTTAACTAATTCATACACGTGAATTGAAAAACATACCTTAGCATGCAATACACCATTTGAAACCAAAAGCGATCTGTCAAACACAGTAAATTTTCCACCATCCATGCAAGAAACTGTCCCACCAGCTTCTTCAACTATCTGCTCGATTTAAAAAAAAAAAACATTTTAAAAAAATTAAAATACAGTTTTTAAGCTAATTTTAAGGATAAATAATTAAATACTAGCATTTACCAAAACACCAGCAGCCATATCCCATGGCTTGAGACGAAACTCCCAATATGCTTCTACAATGCCCAAAGCCACGTGGCACATATCCACAGCAGCTGCACCTAATCTTCTCACACCCTAAAAAAAAACTCAATCCTTATCATAAAAATCACAAAATGAAAAATAATAATAATAATAATAAAATTAAATATTTTACCCGGCTGATGTCGGTAAATTCTTTGAATAAATTCATATTAGCAGCCCATGGATCATCATGTTCGTATCCAAACCCGGTAACCAGTAGAGATCGTTCAACATTATCAGTCTGACTAACATGAATTTTTTGCCCATTACAAAATGCACCTCCACCTAAAATTACATAAAAATTTAAAATACTCCACTTTTTAATTTATGCTTAATTAATTATTAATATAAATACGTTCACGGAAATAATTTAATTACTTCATACCAGAAACCGCAGAAAATGTGCGTGTGTTCCAACACATGGCACCTCCAACAAACTCTACCTACCAACAAAAATGTAAAGAAGCTCAATAACAATTATAAAAAATATATTTTGTAAGTTTAAGCCATTAAATTAAAAAAGTTAAATCGGTTTAATGGTTTATGATATATACCACAGCAGCTGCTGCAGGCTTTCCTTTGAAAAGCACTCCTACAGAGACTGCAAAGCTTGGATACCCATGTGCAAAATTTGTTGTCCCATCTATATATTTGAAAGAAATGGGTATATATATATATTTCAAGTGAATGTAAAAAAATAAATAAATAAATAAATAAAAATAATGTTGAATTACATACCCAAAGGGTCTATGCACCAAAGATAATCAGAAGATGAATCTCCAATGACACCTCCTTCTTCCCCTAGAATAAGATGATCTGGGAAATTCTTCCTTACGACATTAAGAATGGCTGCCTCGCTCATTTTATCTGTGCTGTATGTAAGCAATAACTAAATCTCCATTACACACCATGGAAGAATTCAAAGAAGTTAATGTGTGTGTGTGGAAGAAGGAAGTTTGTAGACATACTCGGTAACTAAATCAGTGAGTCCTTTATAGCTGATGTTTCTAGGCTTATTTACAGCTTCCATCACAACCTGGGAATACAAACAAATATATAAGCCAGAATTCATGAGAAAGGGGATCTAATTTATTGTAGAACAAATTTCATGTGCCCTAGTATCTTGAGAGAGATTGAGAGATAGGATTGTGCAAACCTCGGCACCGGTTTTGGCAGCGATTTCGACGCTTTCGAGGAGCTGGGAAGATGGAATTGGACCGGTTGATGATGCACCGATCTTGGAGAATGTCAGATTCTGATAAGAGATTTCTGATAGCACTGCTTTTGTGGTAGTACTGCGGCATGATAATCTCGACTTCAAACATAAACACACAGGATTGCTAGTAGTAAGGCTAAATTGACCAGGACGATGATGTTGAGAATTTGAAGTGAAATTATAGGGTTTAACAGGATGGATAAACGAGTGAATTGAATTGGGTGTTTGATTGAATCTCGAAGAGAAGATTCTTGATGATGAAACCGGAAAAGTTCCCATTCTTCGATAGTTTTTTCGCGCAGAGAATTCAGGGTCTGTGCGTTTGATTCCACCAGTTCAATCTCTTTCGATACTCTCTTAGTCGAGGGTTTACATCATGTTCTTAGCAGCACTCATTTGATGAATCCGATAATGGTCTCACTTCCCGACAAATCGTTTGTTCACAGCATCTCCATCGCAAAATTCGTAGCAAGAATATCAAACCGGAATTTTACGGGTGTGCACAAAATTATAAACTTAAAATGCACATTTTGTTTGTTTTTTTTTTTTTTTCTATTAAATTAAAATAAAATTAGATGTGGAAATAGATGAGGAAAGGAACCGACCTCGGAACCGAATTTGGTGGAAAATAGGAACCGAA